GATTATTACATAATACTTATTGAAAGTCATTTTTTATTTACCACTGGTTCGGAAAATACCTCTGTCCTGGGAAGAACCAGCAAGAAACCCAGCGGGACTTTTTTTGTTGTTCTATTTGTATTTAAGTTTATGTATTTTTTATGCAAAATAAAGATGTAACTAAACGTAATTTATATAAATTGTATAAACCTCGAGTGCAACTATCGTTAGCGTCTAGAAATTCTATAATACTTATGAAATTGCCGTTCTGCAATAGTGACAATTTAAAATCAAATTAATTTTTGTTTGGCTAAGAATTCTAATTTCAAATTAATTTTATTATAAATACATGGTATTATTTTTTCAAAATTAGTCATTTATTTATTGAGTAGCGTTTGGGTTTCGCCGCATTTGAATATTATTTAATTATTTTTACCGATTTTTTCGTTATCATGGAAACGTTGAAAATTCAATCAACGACTTCTACGAAGCGAATACTACAAACGAACGCATCAACTTTTATGGGTTTGCCCGATTTGATTCTGGAAATTTCGACCTTAAAAATGAACACGTGGGCGTCCCAAACCTTTGGTCAACAATGACGAATTAAAGACAATTGTGGAAGCTGAAGATACTAACTAAATCTACGACTGAATCAGTAGCAGCTTTCGACGTTAGCATGAAAACAATATTGGTCCATTTACGTCATATTGGAAAGGTGGCAGCGCGAAGTACGTGTCGAGACGTGCCTTGCTCAACAGGCATACAAACGAAGAAATTTTGAACCACATTTTTACCTGGGATGATAAATGGATTCTCTTTGACAGTCGCAAGCACTCTGGAAGTTGGATGGATCCTGGTTCAGCAGCTAAACAATGCCCTAAACGAAAACTTACCCCTACAAAAGTGATAGTCATTGTTTGGTGGTCTAGCACCGGTGTGATTCATCACAGCTTCTTACCAATGAGCAGCATGGATGGAACTGCAGATGTGTATTGTGAAGAACTGAAGACAATGATGAAGAATCTCGCACGTCTCCAACTAGCTTGGTCAATCGCTCATTCCCGTTGCTTCTGCACGACAACGTGCGACCTCATACTGCACAACAGACGGTCTCCAAGTTACAAGAGCTAGGGTTAGAAACTCTCCGTCATCCGCCGCATTCACCAAACCTTGCGTCTACAGACTTCTACTTTTTCCAGAATTTGGATAACTTTTTGGGGGGTAAAAAATTCATTAACCTAGAGACAGTACAAAATGCCTTTGAAGAATTTGTTTCCTAACGTCCAGCTTATTTCTCCAAGAAGGGCCCGATCAATAAACTGCCACTGCGTTGGCAAAGATGCAGCGATTGCATAGGTGATTACTTTGATCAATAGAAAATAAAAAAGTTAACTTATTTAAATAAAAAAACGGCAACTTCATAGGTAAAGACGTTACATAATGTGTATAGATACATATAACCATGTACCAGATAGTTTCAAAAATATACCTTTGAAAATATTTAAAAAACGAACCAAAATGGATTTTAAAGAACTGCTTTTACAGTATAAAAGCTATTTAGAATTTAAGAATAATTAATAAGTTGTTTTAACTTTTGTGAGCTAAGTAGTTTTAATTTAGATGCATGTACATCTAGGTAGAGTTTGATGATAAATTTAAAAAGATAAAATTGAAAATGCAATAAAATTTCATTTCATTTCATTGAATAATACACATTATAGAAGGGAATCCTAGCGCCGCAAATGCAATATCACTAGCACGGTATCAATATCAAAATCAATTAAATTTATAGATTGCGATCGCTTGATTGGAATATGAGTCGTTGCAAATGTTCGCTATGTGCAATTTAGCAAGTATTAATAAAAGATTTTTCAGTTATTATTTACCATATTTTTTTATAGGATAAGGGTGACAAACGAGCACACAGTCCACCTGATGGTAAGTGGTTGCTGCGGCTCATAGACATATACATCAATCCTCTATTACAAATCAAAATGTAGATGCGTTGTCACCCGTAAGGACTAAGATGAAATGCCTAATTTCCAGTAAAAAGGGCCTCCGGCCACCTGCACTCACCAAGCGAAACGCAGAGGTAAACCTCTACTTCACGCTGGTTTTCTGTGAGGTCGTGGTACCACCCCGGTTTGAGCCAGCCCATCCGTGCGACAGCAAAAGCTGCCGCGTGGCTCTACCACTGTTGACACTCGTATTCAAGTCGTGACTCCACTCGCGAGAAAATCAAAACTAATTTATGTTCACTTATTGTGGCAAAAGAAGTATACTATATGTTAATCCAAAACAATCAAGTCGTTTCTACATAATTGAGTAACAGACAATCAAACATCTTTACAAAATTTCACATCACCATTTATAATATGATATAAGTTGCCGTGTGTTACCGTTATAAGAGAATCGTAATAATATATAGCGTGATGGAGCTAATTTGTCCCGTGGGTATTGTAAGAGGCGACTATGGGAAATACTAGAAAGATCTCATTGCTTCCGATAGACGATGGTGTGTAATGTGCCTTTGTATAATTTTTTTTATTCTTTTCTAGTATTGTTTCAATGTGTTCCAATTATTAATTCTTACATAGAACTATACGTTAGGTAACATCCGCTGACCACCATATATACTAGTAAGCTGGACTGGCTATACCTACAAAACGTTTGTGCTGATTTGAAGCGCTGCCATTGAGTGTACCGGGAACTGAATTTGACATAGCTCGCAAATGGCTGTTGTTTTGCTCAAAACGTCTAAGTGCCGATTTCACCAACGACGTCGTTGTCTAAGATTAACTAACCCGAGAATAAAGATATTCCCTACTTTTACTCTCATATAACTTGCTGTACATTTCACCATGCAAAACAACAGATTAGTTAGCCTCAGATTAAGTATTCTCTGGAATAACGGTTTTGCTTATCTGTGGAAGACTGTATTTGAATGAGCGAATGAATGATTGTATAAAGAAAACAAATTAAGTATGTCATTGCTTTCACTCTCGGCGAGGTACACAACAAACTTTTTACTTTAGATGGGTTATACGTCAGTTTGTGAAGTTAAGCTATAATGATTCATTTTCATCAACTGTTGTTAAACGTTGTATTTTGTCTCGGTTTTTGGTTATTTTTTCAATTTTAATTAATAATGTCGGTCAGAAAACGCAGTCCTAACTGGCAAATGTCGGAAAAGATGTTGCTTGTGGTTTTAGTGGCTGAACATTTTAGTTTAGTAGAAAATAAGTGTACCGATGCTGTTACTATGAAACAGAAAAATGCGGAGTGGGTAAAAATATCGGAAGAATTTAATTCCCAAACCACTCTTGGATATAGGACGGCAGAAAACTTAAAATCACAGTGGGAAAGTCTAAAGAAATCCACCAAAAAAGAATCGTCTGCTGCAAGGCAAAGCTTGATTCAAACAGGTAATAATCTTATTTCTACATGCTACTTACGAAGCTAAAGCTGTAATGATTTATACCATGTTAATTGTTAACACCTATGGATTTTTTTGTGACATCCTTGACTTATTACTTTGTGTTTTTTATCTCTAATGTTCAATATTTTGTTCAGGTGGTGGACTTGCAAAGCCTAAGCTTGAGGACAGCCCATTTTGTAGCATAATCTTAGCTTTTATATCTACGGCGGTAGTTGGATTGGTCAATAAATATGACAGTGATAACATGTAAAAGCTTTTAGAAAAATTTTACTTCGCAAATATCCGCGTTATAAAATAAAATGATGTGTCTTACTTAGTATGAAGAGCACCTCCCACCCTCCCTCAATTGCGTGCACTATCCCTATAAGATGTTCACTTAACGGTTAGCCACCGTAGAGTCTTCATCACCTGAGGGTGCCTCGTGTAGAGGCGAAACACGTGTCGTATTGTCGTCAGTGGTGTGTCTTGCCTAGTGTAGTGGTGTTGGGAGTAGCGGTGCTGGGATTAGTGGTGACGGGGATAGTGCACGCAATTGAGGGAGGGCGGGAGGTGCTCTTCATACTAGGTAAGACACATCCTTTTATTTTATAACGCGGATATTTGCAAAGTAAAATGTTTCTAAAAGCTTTTATATAATGGATTTCCGCAAAGTAACGCATGACTCTATTAATTATAGTGATAACATGAGCAATAATCATGTTATTGAAGAGATTCCTAGCAACACATTGGCTTCCACTAAAGGTACACAATATTTAACTGAACAGCATGGTATCTCTAAATTTTATTTAGTAAACTGTGTTATTTTATCAATAATATGTGTTTTTTTCAGTTCCTGATGTAACAGACATATTTATTCATGCTCCTATATATGCCAAGTCCATGACCATGCCTCTGTCTATGGATATAGATACAAGCATACAAAATGATGATAAATCACAAGGAGACACAGCTGTATGTAACCTAAAATTAATATTAAAATAATATGTTCTAAAGTATTTCTTCTAAATTTTTATAGAGTCCGACTATTAGTTGAATTACCTAACCCATTAAAAGTCTATTAAATAAGTTAGTAATTTTGTGAAAACATTACAAATTTATTTTTATTTTGAAGGATTGGGGAGACTACACTCCAAAACTGCTGCAAACTCCAAAATCTGCACCTCTACGGGCAGTGAGTAAGGGAGAAGAGGATGTAGGAACTTCTACTCAAAGTAAGAGTTGGAGTTCCAAGCGCAAACCGGCTCTACCATCTTCATCGCTAGAAGATTTACAAAAAACCAAAAAAAGCTACCGAAATGCAGATGCATTTTGCTGCTGAAGAGAGGGAAGAAGAAAGAAAAATTTTTGAGGTGGAAATGAAAATAAAAATATTAAATTTTAAAGCAGGAGAAAATAAAAACTAGGTTATTACTATTACAATTAAGGCGCAGAAAACAAAAAAATTAAAAACTACGACTTAATAAAAAAAAACATGATTTTATTATTTAACTTTTTTCTCACAATAAACTAAATAACATTCCTAAAGTGATTGTATATTAGGAGTTCTCTAGCTTTACTTCGCTGAGGAGTACTTGATTGTTTACACCTTATTTGTCCATTTTGTAGAGCGCTTCCCTGGAAGAATCAAACCTGGATCATCAGGTGGAACTATTTCTCCTCGTTGACACAATATGTTATGCAGTACTGCCGTTGCTATAATTATAACCAAGGCCTTGTCTAATTTAACTCGTAGTCCTAAAGCTAGTACTGGAAATCTTCGTTTCCAAACCCCATAAGACCTTTCAACAGCGTCTGTTGTCTTGATCTGCGACTCGTTGTACAGTTGCTCTACTGCTGTTCCAGGATTCTCTAGTGGGGGCATAGAATAGGATGTAGCAGCATATCCACCATCTAAATAAAGTAGAAGTAAAATTCCTTCACCATAAGCACCAGCTTCAAATTTTGCTTTACGGCAGCAATTATTAAATATAGTACTGTCATGTGCTGACCCAGGCCATCTTGCGACAATATCAATAATTTCAAAATTTGCATTACATATAGTCTGGACATTAATAGAAAAATAGCCTTTTCGGTTTCTAAAAAGTTCTGCCTGATCACCCCCGGTTGAAGAAATTCTGACATGTGTGCAGTCCATTGCCCCTATAACTCTAGGGAATCTTGCAATACCATAAAACTCCCTTTGATTTTGCCGAATTTCCTGTTGAGTATTTGGAAATTTTATGTACTCGTGGTTCAATGAGGCTATGGCAGCACTAACTCTATGTATTATTCTATGTGCTGTAGGTGTGCTGAGCCCACTAAAATCACCGATCGTTAATTGTGAATTATCCGTAGCATAAAATCTTAGTGTTGCCAAAAGATCATTGATCGGAGAAATCGATTGATTCCTGTAAACTAAAACAGTTTTTATTTAGAGCAATTCATTGCCGTATTATGTACCTAAGAACAGTATAAATAGGTACAAAGACTCACCACTCAGATATAAATTCCAAATGATCTTCAATTTTGATCAAAAGATTATGAGCTGCTGCTTTAGATAACCGAAATCTTATCCTAAAATTTTCTTTTATCCACCTTGGACGTCTTACAACATAGGTTTATCTTCACTATCATCACTGTCACTGTTGTTAATCATTCTTCTCAAACGTTGCATTATGTAAAGCTATATACTCTCAATAATAATTAAATTAAAAATTTATTAACCAAACAGCTGTCCAAGAACAAGAAACTTGGACGTACGCGACACGGCGACAGACTATGAAATGTCAAATGATTAACAGCTAACAGCCAGTCGACAATTTTTAACCGAAGAATAACTCTGTATTCCTTCAGAATCGGGAGTATAAATCTTATCTCTTGATTAACTATTTATTCTTGGGTTAAATTGTTGGTGAAATGTAAAATTTGATATCCCAGAATAACTTATATCATTACTCTTGGAATAAAACTTATCTGAGTTTGGTGAAATCGGCCATAAGAGTATTTTGAAATTTTAAACGAGAAAAAGAGTGTATTCGGTTATGTTTCATGTTAGTAATATAATAAAAAAGTATTTTTAGTAACAAGGATAATGTAAAATTCGTTATCAGAAGGGAAGTGTTATAGTTTATATCTAAAAATTAAAAGTTTTTGATATTATAGGTTCTTTAAAATCTGTCACTTATCTTATTAAATATAATTATTAACATTTTTGCCTTTAAATTACCTATTTTTGATAAAAAATAAAGTTCAATAGGGTTGACGAGTTCCTTGTATGTAATACTTATCGATATTTTTTCTACAATGAAAGTCACTGACAACATATAATTATTGTAGCCGGTGGAAGGAAAAGGGGAGATCTTCCGCCGGGCAAGGTGTTCTGCCCCGGGAGCGGTTAACGCTGCGAGTGGTAGTTTTTTTTTGCGTCCTGAAGTAATTGTAAAGGGCTACCCCGTTACGCGTAAATGCTTTATGCATACCACGACAGCCGTTCTGTCGGAGTTATGTGGGACTCACTGTGACTATCCTAACCGAGACCCTAAGTGATACCTACTAAAAACCACCTGTGGGAATGGCAATTAGCTGATTAAGCCTCTTTGCCGGATCGGAAGCGACCCTCTTTTGGGAGAAGAGGGTGCAGACGGTTATGAGCCGCTGAGGGCTTGAGTAGTAGTTCGGAGCTATTCTATATATACTGCTTTAACTTCGGAACTTTGTAAGCGTGATTTAGGCTTCGATGTGTTTCGCTTGTGGCGCGACGCTGTAGTCACCCCCCTGCTCAGACTGGAGGTCGATAATGCAGTCCGATTGCCGGTGCGTCCTTAATGCCGGGGGAGAATGCATGTTGTGTGCGTAAGGGCAAGTGACGCCGGCGCGAACGATATGCCGGTGTGTAATGCATGCCATACTACGCACTTGCAAGTGATACCGGTGAGAACGATGAGCCGGAGCAAATGCCTGGGATTACCTTGTAGTCTGCGGTGAGGCGAGAAGGAGGGAAATAATCTGCGAGAGTGCCGTGAAGCAGAGGCGAGCAGTAAGGCTCAGAGCCGTGCCGAACACTGTAGCGCAGAGAGTAGCTTGAAGGAACAGGAAGCATTATTATTCCAGTGCTGCGATGAACCTTTGTAAAGCTGGATGTCTTGCAGAATGTGAAGACTGCAGACAATATCTGCTCGAAAGCCAATGAATGGGGTACTTGAGGATAATGTCGAAAGCTTGAAGTTGTAGTTTTGTGAAGGTTGTTAGTTGCTTGTTCATATCATGTCGGGGTCACCACTGTGGCCGGTGGAAGGTGTTCTGCCCGGGGAGCGGCTAACGCTCCGAGTGGTAGTTCGGAGCTATTCTATATATACTGCTTTAACTTCGGAACTGTGTTAGCGCGATTTAGGCTTCGATGTGTTTCGCTTGTAGCGCGACGACAGCGCCGTCACATTATCAAATATTTATTAATTTTCAGGTTTTGAACAGACTCTATACTAAAACTGTGACTGAAAAGCATAAAACTTGTGAATTAGTGTCCAAAGCAAAATGATTATGACCTCAATGATTTGTGGTATTGTATTCTTTAATGTAATTTAAAGGAAGTAATATTCTAATTGTACCTATAGATATTCTTGAAATAGGTATAATATTTTGGGAGCTTATTGATTTTCTCTACTACGAGGTTTTTATGGATGGTTAACAATAAATTATTTACAAAATTATATATTTCTTTATTTTGTAGTTACCTACTTATTAGACATTTTTAAACCTCTCAAATGTACCATACATACCCAAAAGTGAAACCTGGAACCTGTTTTATAGTAACGACGAGAAACGAAGATAGACTAACGCGGTTAGTGATTATATTCTCTTTGAACGCGGTCTCGATTTTTGTTGTATATGAGGTGTAAAGCTTATGTCTTGGGCAAAACTATTAATTGTAACATTTATTTATTGAACTTCATTATATTAAAATGATATATAAATAGAATTGTAGGTCTGGGTATAAAATTTTATCGATATATTTGGTCACACTGTCCTATTTCTATTATTAGTTCCGTGGACGCTCACTTCTGCTATCAGCGCAGAAATGGAGAAAATCAAATCACCTCATTATGTCACGTTGTATATCCAGTCCAGCTTACTTATATAATAGAGGTCACAAACAACCGTTTTCTTTTATGCATAAAAAGGTCACAACGCCTTTGATCTATTATTACAAAATAGACAGTTTTGTGTTACTTATTTCAAATATACAGTTGATATTAAGTATTTGAAGATATTTTATTTATTAGTTTCCAGAAATAAAAATAGGGCGAATTTAATTGTTTCAAGCTGTTTTGGAAGCAAACGAACTGAATAAATTATTTCCATCAAATTTCTCGAGATTCATTGACCGCGTGGTATCCATTTTTAGGTTATTTGTCAATGAATATTCCGTACTATTCCGTAGCTGTTGTAATATGTTTCTTTACCTTTCCTTTCTATTAACAGTGTCCTGGGCCCATAACCTATTAGGATTATGGGTTTGGATTCTCAATAAAATGTTTTCTTGATAATAAATCTTTTATTTAGTATCTATGCACATTCACGGTAAGAAGTTCTACAGTTCTACAAAGCAACAACGTCATCTGGCTGCCAATAACAAAAATATAAATGAATGCGTTCAGATTTAAATTTTCTTTTTCTAAATTTAACAATAACTTAACTATCATACAGTCCTACTCCCCGTGGTATCGTACCAAGAACGCTGGCTGCGTTTCCTCTCTCAATGGCTATACTTAGCCTTTGAGCGAGAAAAGAACCAGCCCTTTTATTACCAGCACCAACAGCCAGTCGCGGATAGAGTTCTTTTAGGAACTTCACCGCACGTGGGCCTCACGGAGCGATAGTTTCTACAGCAAATAGCAACAAATATGTAGTCATCTCTCAGAGACTCATATTTGCGCCACCTACTCAGCTCTGCCTCTGATGCCGCCCCGGCTTTAAACGAGGTATCCTTGAGATGAGAGGCCGCCAAAGTGTCTACGCAAGTAGCATCCCACACTAGAGCTTCACTTCTCTACCAAGGCACCAATGTCATACGTCGTATATCAACGTCCATTGATTGATATTATTTCAAACACTGATTATTTTTTTTCATACCTGATATTGTAATGTGAGACAATCGCAAAATAGAGTTGAAAGGTAATATTTTTTATTTAATCAAATAAAAAAACAGGGACTTTATATAAAATAAATAGCAAGAGACATCAGTAATACATATATGATATAATATTTATACACTTATGATACTAACACAGTTTAACACATTTTAAAAATATGTGTGTTTTTGTTTATAGAATAAGGTGACAAACGAGCATACAGTCCACCTAAGCGAAGATGGTAAGCGAATGCTGTAGCCCATAAACAAACACATCTATCCTCAATAAAGAATCAAAATGCAAATGCGTTTTCACCCCTGGAATAGCTCTACCACCAAAACTTTTTTGAAAAATTAGCTTAATCGAATATGTAACATTAAAACAAGTGGTAAAATTAAAAAAAAAAATTATACAACTGACTTACAAATACGCATTATTAAGGATTAAACGTAATTTTGCACAGAAGCAATGGAAGCCACTGTTTGAGAGCGAATTGTAGAGTCCATTGCTTATACAGAAGCGATATGTTGGTTGATTTCATCAATTTATCGAAAAGGACCACAATCCGATGTAGCTGGCCTGCAAAAACCAAAAGATCTAAAAAAAAATCCATACTTCGACGGGATAAGAGTTACTAATATCTACAACTATGGAAATATCTAATAATTAATGAAAATAATTAAACTATTGATTGCAACTATTCCTAACTGCTTTAAAATATAACCAATTCTCCTCAGTACGTTCTCTCTTGAAACGAAGAAAAAGCCCGGTTTAATCTAGACATTGCCAACCTTACGCCTTCTGTCATCCATGAGGCTAGGGGACACTTCAATCTTACCTTGTGAACTGGAGCATGAACATCAAAAGGCTAAGAACATTATGGTTTTAAATGAGGCTATTTCAACGTAAATAAAATTAGAACATCATCTATGTAGTCGAACTCAATAATTTTTTTTATAGAAGAGTTGGCAAACGAGCATGCGGCTCACCTGATGGTAAGTGACTACCGCCGCCCATGAACAACCGCAACACATTATTAAGGATAAAATAAAATAAAATAAAAATTAAATTAAATACGTATTATTAAGGATAACTCAAAAACTACTGGTCAAATCTTGATCAAATTTATAGTTCTCAAATTGATAATTATTTGAGGTAACACACATAAAAATCACAGTCATACTGAGTACCTCCTCCTTTTCTGAAGTCGGTTGATAAAAAGTAATACGAGCTAATCTAACTTTAACTAGTAAAGGTATACTTTTGAATATTCTAGGTGCTGCCGTAGTTTCAATGGAGTTGACGTAAATATTGTATAAATAAACGACCCGTTTATCTTCATTTCTTTTTTTTTATAAGATAAGGGTAACAAACGAGTACACAGTCCACCTGATGGTAAGTGGTTGCTGTGGCCCATAGACATCTACATCTATTCTCAACTACGAATCAAAATGCAGATGTGTTGTCACCCGTGAGGATCAAGATGAAATGCCTCGTTTCCAGTAAATAGGATGGGTCTCCAGTTCTCTACACTCACCATACGAAACACAACAGCATTGAGATGCTAATTTACGCTGATATTCTGTAACGCATGTGTTGTTCGACGTATGGCTAACAACTGACACGGATAATGGTAATGGGTTCTAGTAGGAATGGCCATAAAGAATAATTTCTTCCCATTGTACGTCTTTGTGAGTATCAAGATACTATATTTTAAAGTGAACAAATCTGAATCTGAATCAGAATCAAATTATCTAATAGATATATAAAAAAATAATGTTTGTTCGTTCGTATTTTTAACGCTGCCATACCGTTCATCAGATTGTGGTAAAACTTTGTCAACTTATTGCTTGCACTTGCGCGAACGTTATAAGCATAGTACAATCCACACTAGCTGAATTGACTATGACAAACTTACACTAAGTGGCTGAAGTGTAGCTCGCACGAAAATAAGAAGAAGGTAGAATGAGTATAATTAAAGTTCTAGTACCAACAACATGTCTCTTCTCATTTAACACCCTTAGTACTTCACATGGCGTTCCTGGCAAGGATTGCGCGTATTGGAACGACAAATACATTTATATATATTTTCATACAGTAGATATATCACCATCATTATCAATTCTAATTAAAACCACCAAATTTAAAACGATCTTTCCATAATTATTTCTTCTGCGGCAGCGACGCGCCGTGTACCAGCTAGTATTCTATAAAAATAAATTGCTGCCCGTTAGTCTCTAAAACTCGAAAACGGCTCGAATTATTTTGATGACCGGGTAGGTAGCGCTGCTGTCGAGATCCAGAAATCACCCGTGAGAAGCCGAGGTGCATCGCTAGAGTTGGATATAATAATCCAACTCTAGCTAAAAAACCTTGCAATTACATAGAAATTTCCTTTAGACAAATTTAATGGTTTCAATATACTTGACTTACCTTACTTGAATTAACAAACAACAAATTAGTACAGCATTGTAACTCTTGCTTTCTTCTCGGAGCGTCGAGCTCCGAGAAGTTTGCAGTCTGTGAACTCGTACAGGATCGCCCCCGTCACTACATTAGCTTTGATAGACCACAGATTCTCGCTAAAGAACACCGATTCCTTCCAAGAATGATTCGAGAGGCTATTGAAATCAAAAACATCCCAATTTCAATAGAGAAGACGGCTGGGTGCTACCATCTGCTTGGGATACTATAATTAATAAAATTAAATCCGAACCCAAGTATACAACAAAAATTAATAATTTTAATCTGGAGGTAGCCGTGGTTAACTATGACATTGGGACGTCAAACACCTCAGTCCCCATGGGTGCTGTAAAGTGCTCGAAACGTCGGGAATATAAAATGTAATAATATACGTGATAAAATCCGTAAAACCTAGTTTTATTTAAATGTCTAATGTTCGCGTAAATATAATAAATCATTAAGTAAAGCTTAACTTACTTTCATCTAGTATTCATGTAATTTATATTAAATAAAAATTATTCTATTCTATTTTATTCTTGAATTATAAACATATTATTAATCGAGATAGTTTTTTAACACAATCGATTACTTAAATCTATTATTATACAAAAATAAAAGGCTGCGTAAAAATGTTAAAGCCAGCAGATATGTACAGTTATACCGTATAGCATCATGTTTACTTTTGTAGAGAATTAATCGCTTTACTCTTTGCGACCCGAGACTACATATATAGAGGTAAAATTGAATCCACAAGCCACCGTTGAATGCAACTTAAGAGGCCGCATAATGCTGTTTTGGTGATATTGATCAATCTGGATCTCGGTACCTGTAAGACCTAACAGTTTGCTATTTGGACACATTAAACTTGGACTTATAATCTTCAAATCTGTTGAAGCAAAAACACGATTCGATAAAAAATTCTCGATAAAAAAAATATATGAAAAAACCTCGTTTTGCACTTATTTTTAGTTAGATCTCTGAAACCTTATGGAATTGAATGATGATTTTTAAGCTAAAAGATAGATAATAATATTATCTCAAATCGTGACGATTTATTTTTTTATTTTTCTACGTGGTATTCTCGTAATTAGCAATTATGTGATTTGGCGCTTGCGTTATTTAATTCTAAACGAGCACACTCTCTTTCTGTCTCTTGTTTTGTACGTGGTAGCAATAGCGCTATCCTTTTCAATTTGTTCAATCATTCTGCTGCGGCATCTATTACGGGGCGAACCTATGTTTGGCGACATTACGGAGAGACGACTATTTATTTCCGACATTTTTATTTTGTATTGTGGTAGGTGTTACTGTAAAAAGGAGTTTAAAACGTTTTGTGTAAATATATTACCTATATTTAAAGTGTAAATAAAGATGGGCAAAAAGAAAACTCTCGGAAAAAGAAAACAATTAAAACGTCTAAGAGAACAACTCCGTATTTTGAACGAAGGAAAAAAAAAGTAAGTACCTATCTAACTACCGATATAAATAACGGTATCAATTTAATTTTCATTTTTAATTTTTTTTTTCTTAAAAAAACGTTACCCCCACTCTAGGATTTTCTCCTGTATCGTGGAGGCAGTATACAAACATAAATTGCACGAGGACAAGCACCCTGACCCGGAACAATTATTTGTAGGCCATACAAATACTTGTTCCCTGCGGGATTCGAACCCGCGGCCCCCAGCGCAACAACTCATTGCTAAGCCACTGCGCTACGGAGGCCGTCAAATTATTCTTTTGTTTACGTAGCTTCTTAGGTATTTCGAATATGTATAGAGTCGAACACGAAGGATCGGTTTGCGAATCATTTTTCGAGTTTCAACCTTATTGCAACGAGATAAAGCTCATGTCTAGTGTCACGTCACGTTGCTGCTGGCTGTTGATAAAGTTTAAATTCGTTTGATGTGTTGCAAAAACGTTTTGTAATTTTATTGTTACATAAGTTTGTTTATGTTTATATAAGATCAATCGGGGTGTTATGATAGGTACCACTCGTAGTTTCTGATACCCACGATACAGGGAATAGGTATCACTGTGGGGTTAGGGATAGGTTTTGAATGTTGTGGGTTATGTTATGTTACTTTGACTGCCTTATTGGTCTAGTGGTTGTAGTAGTGCGACTGCTGATCATGAGGTCTTGGGTTCGAATCCCGGGTCGGGCCAAAATTTTTTTTTTGTAAATAAGTTGAAACTTATAAAAGATCAAACTACGGGTGGTACCTATCATAATACACCGGGTATTATGATAGGTACCACCCGTAGTTTCTGATACCGTCAAGAAATTCTCAGTAGCTGCCCGGAGTCAGGAAGTTGGCGGTGGCCCACCTCCTTGTCTCGGAATGCACGTAAAGCCGTTGGTCCTGCGCCTGATCTCTCTCCGGTTGTGTCGGTTTACCGTCTCATCGGATTATGAGGGTGAGGGAATAGAGAGTGCACCTATACTTGCGCATACATTTGCGCACTATAATGCTATCCTGCGTCGATGGCTAGTCTCCGTTGAGGCAGGCCGCCGTGACCGAAATTTGGTCCGGAGAACAGTATGTTACTTTATTTTATTATGACTATACATTTGCAGAAAACCAAACATTTCATTCATTGAGCTTGAGAATGTGACGAATAAAACGGCGCCCACGGTATTAGAGAATGAACTGCACGAAGACGGATCGGCACGCGGCGCGAGCGACATGAGCGGCGCGCCGGCGGTGCCCGCGTCGTCGCGTGGCGTGCATTTGGAACAGGGAAAAGGGGACTCGTCGCTATCTATTGACAGTACGGACAAGTAAGTATTTACATAAATAAATACATATGAAAATGAAAAATGAAAATACTTTATTTGACAGTTAGCACCTTTACAAATAATTTAACAGTGGTCCTCACACTAGGCTCGCAGACCTGTATCGTGAGAGCCATATACACATATTAACAAAAACAGAATTAGTGCACGGCTGACTTTACAAAGCTTTCTTTACTTTAAATGTCTTCCTCATTTTATTTATAGTCTGTAAACATAAATATATACTAAAACACATATACACACACATATACATATAGCCATCCATATAAACATATATACACAAACATACATACATACATACACACATACATATATATACATATATATATACACATATACACACATACATACATATATATACATACACATAATATAATTTGTTTGTTTATAAAAATATAAAATAAATAATTACTTTAATTTAATTTAAAAATTAATCACTTTATTCTCTACACCCGAGACTATATATAATATATATATATAGAGGTAAAATTGAATCCACAAGCTACCGTTGAAAGCAACTTAAGGTTACGACCCTCATCAAGTAAGTTTTGTACTACAAGTCAACACAGTGAGCGCTCGGATTTCTTTCACAAAGGTTAAGTCCTCACTTCACTCTTATCACATGTATTCATGTTCTCTAACGTAGCAGCCAGTAATAATAGAAATCAATATCCTTTAATATTAATTATTTAGTGTTTTATGATCTTATGAAAGGGAAGGCCAAATTAGCCTCTAAAAATGTTGACAGGCTTTGTAGAGCGGGACAGTATTACATGTCGGCACACCGTTTACAACTAACTACACAAGGCGCAGCTTAGGCCTCACATGGAATACTGTTCTTATTTCTGAACAGGGACACCCCAGTGCCAACTCCTTCCACTTGACTGCATTTAACTAGGATCGGCTCGAATCATCGGCGAGCGAGTTCTTTCTGATTGGCCGATTCACTGGCGCTGCGAAGAGATGTTGTATCCCTTGCATTTTTTATTGCATATAACACGGGGACTGCTCAGAGGAATTGTACGGATTAATAAATAAATGAACGCATATACCATGATGGTGAAAATGGATTGAAAAAATGGATGAAGGTAGAAAATAAAGAAAAACAGAGTTGAGGATCGATCTTGCAACCCTCATTGTTCGAGTAGTATAAAGATAAGACCAGTATTACACAAGTGTTAATTGATATCGTAAATCTGTTCTTTTAGTGATAATTCTTTAGTACAAGCAAGGAAGGCCATATTGCAGAGAGACGGCCCGATTTTGCATCGTAATGGGCAGTGTTGCTTTGGCTTTGCATACTTTATTTATTTTATATATTTTTTAGTTCTAATTATTTAGTGTGACTGACAGAGTGACGTTATATCCTGAAAAATTTTTTACTGCTGCATTGGAAGACGTTTTGAAGCTACTGGTCTGGGAAGGTACGGTATAATTTGAGAACAATATAGTCATTATGGCAGAATCGCTGGAGCACCTCAGCACTATGCTCAATGACCTCAATAGTGTCTCACAATGGTCTTAAAACGGACACGAACTAAACAAAAGTCATGTTAAAAGTCCATTTTATACCTATGCCGGTAGGTGTTGGGAACACTAATTTTAAAATAGTTGACAAGTATGTTTAACTCAGACAAATTATCCGACAAGGTAAGTCCAACTTCGACCGAGAGGTCAATCAACGAATATAAATCGGCTCGACAGGGTTCGGGAGATTACGACTCATCTTATCGTCACGTATATCTCAAAACTTGAAAACAAGATTGTACAACCAGAGCGTGTTGCCAGTGATGACATATGAATCTGAAATGTGATCCCGCACTGTTGGCCGTATGAGGAAGTTCAAGGTCATTCAGTGTGAAAAAGAGAGCGGGTTATACTCGGAGTTCCTCTACGCGATACACTTCATAATGAGGATATCCGCAGCGGAACCGAAGATAACCACAGTAGAACTAGAGTTACTGACAAAGCGCAACAGCTCAGTAGCTGAAATTGTAATGGACCGGCGGCCCCAACTAGACTGACACGACCTGGTAAGAGATCATCATCATCATCATTACAGGCCTTCACAAGTCCACTGCTGTACATAGCGCCCCCCCCAAGGAATGTCACAAAGCACGGTCCTAAGCCACCTGCATCCATCGACTTCTTGCATATCTTACCAGGTCGTCACTCCATCTAGTGGGGAGTCGCCCTACGCTTTGTCCGCTGGTACGAGGCCGCCACTCGAGAACCTTTCTTCCCCATCGGTTGTCGGTTCTTCGAGCTATATGGCCGACCCATTGCCACTTCAGCTTACTAATCCGTTGGGCTATGTCGGTCACTCTGGCTCTACTGCGGATATCCTCATTTCTAAGTTTATCACGCAGAGAAACTCCGAGCATAGCCCTCTCCATAGCTCGCTGAGCGATCTTGAGCTTTCTCATCCGGCCAGCAGTGAAGCATCACGTCTCAGTTCCATAGGTCATCGAAACAGTGATGACCTAGGTGGCTTAGGGCCGTGCTTTGTGACATTCCTTGTGGTTGGCCTATGTTCAGTAGTGTACTTGTGATGATGATAATACTAAAGGTGATGACTTGCTGTGTTTCATGAATATTTTATATAACGCAAAGTCGTTAGACCAAGAAATATCCATTTATATAGTTTTCTGTCTAATTTAACGGTGTTAATTTATGGAGCTATTTGCTTGCGCCGTTTCCTTAATGCATGATCTTAACATTTTAATTAACTGATAAGTTTATGTTGTATTTTATTAATCGGAAATAGCTGTAGTAATATGTAGGCCAAATCATTCACTTACCATCCGGTAAACTGTATTACTTACCATGTGGCAAGCGAGGATATGGTTCAACTGGTGATAAGTGATCACCGCCGCTTATTAACATGAGAAATTGTAGATGTGTTGCCATCCTTTGAGGAAAAATAAGGCTCTATACTCTTTTTTTGAAGGTCATATCAATCTGGAAGAACCTCTAGTGACAATAAATTCCACACTGTGTTCTTGCGTGGCAAAATATCCAAGTAAAATGTTCGTTAAATTAAAACGTGAGATGAAATGGATGGAATTTAGAGTTCTGTCACCGTATTTAATGGTGGAACTTTAAAACTCACTCTGTGTTTTGATAGTCTTTATAATAAATAATAACTACAATTTTTGGCATGATTAGTCTAAGTACTAAATGAGAGCAATAACAGATACATGGAATGGGCAGTACGCAGCCCCGAATTCAATGCTATCGAGCGCTCTGAGATTAGCTCGGACAAAAAGATTGAGGTTGGCACTGTGTAATAACAGTTCAATGTATATTTAAATATTTTTAATAAGGCTTATTATAAACAGTATTTTATTCCCTTAGATAGTATTCGTATGTTCAGAAATATAAAGATGTAGCCGACCCATCCTTACCCACTAGTTTAATATGCACAAGATAACACTTTTAAACCACTTTCTTATAGGGCTCCATTTATTGCTCTTGTATCGTCTTTTAATACAGTTTTTTCAGACATTTAAAACTTGTCTTTTTATCGAAATAAGAAAACTTTACGGCGTGAGAGGATTTACTCGACTTTAGCAAATCGATTTATGTTTCTTTCTAGTGCGATGTATATTCAAAGCCGAATTTCCATTCATAGTTTTTCTGTAGAGGTGTTTTTGAACTTACCTAATCGTCATCTATAATATAAAAATGAATCGCTGAATGTGTTGCTAAGCGCAAATCTCGAGAGCAGCTGAACCGATTTTCTGCCGACTTCCAAAAAGGAGACGGTACTCAATTCGACGCGTATGTTTTTTTATGTGTGTTACCTCATAACTTTTTACTGGGTGGACCGATTTCGATGATTCTTTTTTTATATGAAAGCTGATACTTCTCGTGTGGTCCCATATGAAATTGATCAAGGTTTAGACCAATAGTTTTTGAGTTATTTGAGTTATTCTTAATAACTTATATTGAAGTCGGCTGTACAAAATTTTTAATTTTAAATTATGCTAATTCTTTTTTTATAATATTCCTTGAAGTACGGAGATGGTTCTTGCGGAGAGAAAAATTTAAAAAATTGCCTGAAAAAGTATAAAAACAACACTTTTCTATATTCCCACACAAAAGATTCGTAGTAATACTTAAAAGTCAATTTGAACTTTAATACCATACCATAAAGTTTAAGTGTTAGTGGAGGGGTTCCGGGAAGGCAAAACAATTTAGTGACGTTAGTATCGTATAAATATTAATGTCAATATTTGTCAATAGTGTTTTATAATTTTTATTTTTTGACATAATGTGATTGTTTTATCTTACTTATCAACTTTCTTTTTTCTTTTTTATCTTAGTAGCTGACCCGGTGTCCCGAATAGCAGCATAAGTATTAAAAAAAATAATTAAAGAATCGACTGTTGGGCGGTACGAAGTTCGCCGGGTCAGCTAGTAAAAATATAATTGTGAAATAAGCACAATCCTACATATTATATTCGACAAATAACAAAATACAAGAGCCGCCATATTCCAAACAATGTCAAAATAGTTATGAGTTTACATTTTTTGCATGTGCGGGTTCGAATCCCGCACGGAACAAGCTTTTACGGCCTTATGAAGATGATATGATATGAGAGAGCCTTATGAGTTCATGTCATCCGTTTGATGTTGGTAAAATGTCATATATTCCGCTTATTAGATAAATTAAATAATGGCAGGAGCATCGATTCTTAACTATGATGAAATATGAAACTAAACAACATAAGCGTAATATGCAGAAGGTACAGTTATAAAATTTTTTTTTTCATTTAAGTTTACGCCTATTGAATAAAACATTTTTTAACTGATAAAAGCATAAAAATTACTTGTACACTAATAGTTTCCACCAGTCAATTACAATGTACTGATTTACTAAGAATTTTGTTCTTCCAACTCGAACTGATTTAACGTCAGACTTCAGACTTTCAAAAAAAATACAATTAATTTTCAAGTTCACTTAGATAGAGAATTTGTAGTATCCAATCATTATCATTACAGCCCTTCACAAGTCCACTGCTGAACATAGGCCTCCCCCAAGGAACGCCACAAAGCACGGCCCTGAGCCACCTGCATCCACCTATTTCTACTTTTCTGTAGTTTTTTTTTTAACTAGGACAAGCACTCGCTCTTCCTTATTAGCTGTTTAACGATGTAACGTTCAATATTTTCTAGAATATCAAATAAATTATCTCAATCGTCTGAAGCACATGGTAACGAACGTAACTGAAATGAATATCGGAAGTTCATTGAAATAATATTATATCATTTTAATTTTTATAATCTTCTGATTATCATGATTATCATCATTATTATCATTATCATTACAGCCCTTCACA